GGTGGGGGTGGGGGGGGGTTAATTAGCGGGTTATCTCTAATTGGGCTTGATTACGGGTGTTAGTGCGGTGCCTCGTTCTGTGGTGTCTGTGTCACCAGCTCAACATCCTGCCCTTAATTTGGGGGCTCCAGTCATACTGCGGTTTTAACGACTTTATTACCAGGTACTCGTGCTGCAGGACGATGTGTGTGTGTGTGTGGAGAGAGAGAGAGAGAGAGAGAGAGAGAGAAGGTGTGCGTGTGACTGGATGTCCAGGGGTGCTCCATTACTTCCCAGATATCAGCGCCCTCATTGTGCGGATGCCAGAATCCAACTGGGGGGCATTCTCCGGTTATAAGTGTGTGTGTGTGACAGAGACAGCCCGCGGCGGTATGTGGTTGTGGCACAAAGTGGGTGGGGTAACGGGAAAGTTAACGGCGATGCGGTCCGCGAACGAGTGCTCGGATGGAATGATGTCATCGGGAATCGCGAGGAGGCAAGCTGTTTAGGGAATGCGCGAGCCTCCCCCCTCCTCCTCTGCGCGCGCACACACACACACACCTATCTCCTCTCCGGAACTATCCACGCCGAGCTTCACGCGCCCCCCGTAACACGCCCACACTTTCCGTTACCGATTAATCCAGATTTATCCCATAAGCAGCAGGAGGGGGTGGAGGAAGAGGGAGGAAGCTCGCTGAATCATTGAGAGAAAACGAGGATAGCGCCAAAAACACAAATCAAGATCCAGATCTACTTTTGAGTTTCAAGACTCAGAAGCTGGAGGTTTTTAACACGTCTCCCCTGCTGTTTTATTTTTAGCTCATCTGCAGTTTTAGTTTTATACCTTCATTCATGGCTACTTCCTGTTAAAGGTCCCGAGCTGTTCTCACTAGTGCCATACTGCAAATGCTGATATCGATCTGATACCAAGTAAATGCAGGGCCAGCCGATACCAATACCGATATTGACACTTTCAACTTAGAAAATGATATAGGAACACATTTTAATGATCACTAAATCACAGACTTTTAATTTCCATGATAATTAGTTAGCATAACTAAACACATATATTTAATACGTTTTCTAATCAAATAATAATAACAATTTAACACATTTCAGCAGGCTACATAGAGGTAGAAATAGTATCGGTTCCATTGCACTAGTATCGATCTGATGCACATACCAGCACTGCTGTCGATACCATCGATATTTGGATACCTCTATTTCTCACAGGCAATTAATTAAACAGACCAGAGAAACCAGTTCTACTTCAGAGAGATCCATCAGCTTTAAGCCACCTTTATACATAGTCGCAGTTTTTATTTCCATATTGTTGTACAAAAGGCCCAAATGTTGCTGCTTAATGCCTTTTCTTGCCTAATTCACCCTTGCTTTGCTTTGACCATCTTTCGTTGTTTCTGCGGTGAAGCTGCACCAGTTCTGGCAGCTGTTTTCAACACCACACACTCACATATATCAACACTGATTAGTAGGTCAGTCGGTTGCAATCCTTGCCAAAGATCCTTGGCCTCCAGCTGACCTAATCTGTCTTTAAGTGTGCAGATGGAGACAGGTGTGTGACACACATACACGTAAATATACGCCATGGTGAGGAGCGCACTGATAGATCAGCTGCCGTCGAGGGTCATAATTACAGACTCAACCTCAAGCAACCCCGGGCTTTGAATGCACGCGCGCATGACCCGTGGTCGCGTGCATCCGCTGATGAGCTCTTTTCTCAGATGCTTCTTGGCATGAAGCCAGGAGACTGTTGTGTGTGTGTGTGTGTGTGTTCTGAGTGATTCCTCTGTGTTTTGTCCCTGTGGGTATTTCCTGTTGTCAAAGCTGTGACATCACATCCGGCCGTCTTTATTTTACATGGGAGACTGATTTTCCCACAGACATCTGTTGTGTCCCACGGATAGCCTGTGTGTGTGTGCGTGCATCCGTTTGCCTTCATGAGAGCCCTGACTGTCCATCTGTCTGTGTGTGGGCTCAAAAATAGTGAATCTCCAATGCCAACAACTTGTTCTCGCCAGCCCTCTCTCTCCTTGAACAAGTGCGTTTTATGGTGCGAGTGTGTTTGTGTGTGTTTGGCGGAAAGGCGTCGTGTTCTTGAGGATCATGTTCAACTCGTGGAATGAATCAGTGTTTTGTGCCTCCGATAGCAGACAAAGCCCCCCATAGAGAGGAAGAAAGAGAGAAGGATCAAGGAGGAGGGGAAAAAATAGCCCAAGCCGGGCGGATTGAGGGAGAGTGTGGAATGTGAGAGGCAATCTGACACAGGAAGTGGGTCCTTCTCGCTCTCCTGGAGGACAAAGTCCCCCTCACGCAAACACATACACACAAGGTGGCAGGTAGAAAACACAGCCAGGGTGCAGGAAGTATTTCAGGTGTGTGTATTAAGGGATGGGTGAGGGCATGGTATCCACCTTTCACTGGAGAGAGGAAATGAAAAGGATCATGGTTCATATCCGGAGCTGCATTCATGGACACAGTGAGAGAATAAAGATAGGCTTCAGCCCCCCTAACACCGGCCCGGGTGTTTGTGTGTCTGTTCATATCTGAAAGCAATTTCTTATCACATAGGACAGCAGATGTGCTGCATTTGAGTGAAATTAGTTTTTCTTTCTCGCGGAGAGTTTTAGTGCTCCATTCAGCCAAATGGGAATCGAAATTTCACATTTACCATTAAGGCGATAACGGCGGCGGGATGGACGGGGAGACCTGCCTGCACGGTGCCGGTCATGCCGATATGACCTCGTCTGATCTGAGAGAACAATGGGTGCTGAGAATCTGCAGCTGTGCGTGGAGTTTGACCTCCAAAATAAAAGCCGTGTGCAAAAAGCTGACAATAAATCAGAGCCCGTCATTATTGGCCCCGAGTAAGCCCAGAAAGATTGCAGCAATCTGCGGGACCTTTACCCGCTGATGCCAAACTGCATGCTAATAATTTAGACGTTTCATCTCATGTGACCCTTGTTTGTGAATATTCTTCTTCCAGTGAAGAGCATGTGACTGTTTACCCAGAACACAAAATTAGTGGGTGTCTGCAACCACGAGGGGAAAAAAAAGATAGTTTGTTTTATCGAGCGATTATATGCGTGCATTTTGAGGGGTTTTTCTGTCAGAGTGGAGCAACGTTAGTCCGCTTTTAACACCATTTTTTTCATTTGAGTATAAAAGTGCTGAGAAGAAGACCCAGCCTCCTTTTTTGTCCTCATGGCCATATCATTGTAATTTATTATACTCTTTACTCAGCCTGCAGATGCTTCAGAATGCTGCAGCTCATCTTTAGCAAAGACTAAATGAAGCCCCTGTGGTTGAGAAGACTTGTTCTCAGAGCTCAGATTAACATGAAGAAGGACAGAGCTTTAGTCTGATAACCTGGAATAGTTTACCTCTTATCATGAAAGGCATATTCGTCTCCATTTATACCCATGGATAATAAAGGCTGTAATGTTATCAGCTGGTGTGCAGGTTGGCTCCTGTGACTACCTGATTCAGTGGGGGTTGTTCTGCCCCGATGAGCTGAAGTAATGGTGGAATCTGTGCATTCATCTATTTGCTTTTTCTACACCTGAGCACTTCTAACTTTCACACTCTGTGGATGCATCAAAGAGCAACTCGGGGTTGGCATCTTTCCCAAGGATATTCTGACAGACGGACTGGGATCAAACCACCAATCAAACCATGCTGATTGGTTGAGAGCTTGACAGTCTTCACTCTTCTTCTAGTTTTTAACTAGAAGTCTCACTTCTGCTCTTTTTATTTTGTAATTTCGCTCCCCTCCTCGGCTGGGCGATGAAGCAGCAGCAACACAATTGAGAGTAGCTCACTGTAGACGTAGATCTAAGGCAGACCTGATTCACAGGCTGCCTCAAAGAACTGCAGCAAAGGTGTGTTTGCAGATTAAAACACCGTTCTTCATTAGGGCAGTTGTAAGCTTTGGGGCCCAACTTTTGGACTTAACTGCTTTGCTTCTTTTGTTTTTGTTTTTACTTCCTGTTTACATTACTTTTTTGCACGGTTTGCGTAGCTATAAACACCAAAGTGTTGACACTTGGTTAGTTTTATACTTAATACACAGTATTAAAATGAATTTGTAGAGTAGCTGTATATCCTACAGTGTAGCCTGTTGCTTTTAGCCTGACATCAGTCTTCCCAGAAAAGCAGATAGAAGTGCAGTGACGCATGATGCAATACCCTACTGGTCAGCTGTGCCTTCTAAACACAGCATATTGATTAGTACCAGGGCGCCTGCTGGTGATTAGGGTCAGCCAATAGGCTAAATCCTTTTCCTGTTAGTTAGTTTGTTTTTGGAGGAAAGTTCTGTTTCTGCAGAAATTTGTCAGCAGTCGGTCGATGTTAGACCGGCGGTTATCCGGTTGGAGATTTTGGACATGTTGCCCAACAGGTGCTTTTGTGTGGCTCTGATAACCGCTGACAACAGTCATTCAACAGTCGGGATTTGGCTGGAAGTGACTTAGCACCACAGTTTCATTAAGCTTTCCACATAAACATCAGTCATGCACAGGCTGTCAGCACAAATGAAAAGCAAGCACAAAAAAGCATCTCTCATGCTGAGAAATATCAGCATTTCTGACTTTAAATTGTAATTAACAAA